CTGGCCTTTATTCCAGAAATTACTACGAGAGCGATAACATTGAAGCTCGACGGCACTGACAATTATGCTCGTTGGATCRTAATATAAATAATGTTCTAATTTCTAGCAAYTCTACTGATTGTCCATGATATCGTCCTATAGTTGGTGAAAAATTATACTTCTATTGATCTTAACAACGGCATATGTTCCCAAAAASATTGAACTGTTTGGSAAAGATTTTGATTKTGTTGTCGCTAAGTCGTCAGCTTTTGAATTCAGTTCTTTAACTTCATTGTCAAAGCCAATTCTTTTTCGATATTTCGATTTTTGTGTTGAGCCGTGCTTACATCTCAAGGCATTTTCTTTCCTTGTACAAGATGTCACAGTTGTTAAAAGTAATTCTTGTTTGTGTCCAAGGTGTTATAATTGGTGAAAGCATTTCTTGTGATACCACGTTGTTACTGCAGTTTCTTTGAAGGAGTCAAACAAGACAAATCAGACAAGATGGTGGCGCATGATCTGTTGTTTGTTTTACATTACATCCATGTCGTCTGAATCCTCCTCAACTTCTTGTTCTTTCGGCTCAGCCTTGGCAGGCTCTAGCTTCACGACCTCTTTTTGTCCGCCATTTTCGTCGTCTTGCATTACACCATAACCGTTTTGAGTCAGTATGCGCGTTACTGTGTATGTATTCATCCCACTTTCTCCGCACAACGTCTTCACAGTCACTTTCGTGTTCTCTCTTTTAACTCGCCTGAGTGTTCTTAAGACCTTTTTTTCTATCTTTGTGTCGAGTTTTTTAGGTTTTCTTCCCGGTTTTTTCTTCTCTTCTTCCACTGGCGGTTTAGTGTATCGCAAAACAGACGTTGTTGAAATGGCGCATATCGTTGCGATATCACTTGTAGTAAGATTTGGCAGTTGGCGCTTCAGTAACACCGCCACTTCCTTCTTATCCGATGAAATCCTTTGCACCATCCTTGACAACTGCGCGCGGCACCACGGCTTCTTGACTATGCGGTCATTAATATGAATGACGTCATAAACAAGTTTGACRTCATAAATATCGTGACGTCATAAACACCGACAACATTGGCGCTAAACGTGACGTCATAAAGTACAACGTCACAAATATTTATGACGTCAGAATCATCCATTTTCCTTTGAAATTATAAATCTCAAGTTTTAAATGTTTTTTTTTTCATTGCTATATCCTTTTTGAAATATTAACATCACTAAYGTTTTTATGTATCACAGTTATATTTCTTTCTGGATAATTTTCTTTAGGAAGGCCGTGCGCGCCTTGCATTGTGGGCCGTATTTTAGATCAGACAGGGAGACCGCTATTTGAATATTCAGGCTCAAAAAACATGAACTGTGGATTTCGTATTAAAAGATTCATGGTCAATAAACAATTTTTTATGTATTTGTTTATGTTTGTTATATAAAAGACATTTTACATTTCTATTTGGTAGAGCGGCGARTCAATATTTGTTTTACAGTAGTGTTCGGGATCCCTGTGATGTGGGCGTGGTGGAGGTGCGCGCGCAGAAACGTCACTTGAAACGTAACAATGCAAGWTTAAGTTGTGGTTTTGTAACTTCGGGCCTGTAAAGACTTCCTTACCTGACCTTTTTCCAGGAACTCAGTTCACGSTTTAASGCGATCTCTTTTTCTTTTTCAGTTGCTTAATATTCTTGAAGAGTTCGTAATCGGTCGTGGGCTGATTTATTCTCGTTTAGATGGCAAGACACGAACAAACCAACGCGCGGCCATCGTCAGGGAATTCAACAACAACCCCGAGATCTTTGTGTGCCTTATATCTACACGCGCAGGCGCACTGGGGCTTAATTTCACTGGTGCYAATGTGGTGATCATATTTGATCCCACATGGAACCCTGCCAACGACTTACAAGCCCAGGACAGGTAATCTTCACTTTGGTTTATCAACACTCYTGTATGAGGCGCATGCGTAGCGTGAAACCAATACGTTTGTATGTGGCGCAATAACAGCAAACCAAATTCAACACATACATTGTGAACCTCCATTGTACTGTTCCCAACCCCATCTTGAAAGGTAGAGACTGACCGCTTAAAGCATCCCAACCAACCACAATACAGCACTCGCTCGCGTTATTGTTTACATACATTAAAATGCGTCATGTATACAATAGATTATAGATTGATAGTACCTGTGAGGTTCTTAGTTAAAAGTATTTCTATCCAAACTGAAAGGATTTAAAACGATTCGCGCTCACGTTAAGAAATCATGAGAATCCGCCATTTTCGTGTCCACATAAAATATGGCTCTTCGTCTCGTAAGGTACAGCGGTTGGTTGTGATTCTTTAATATAGGTAACTGTAACATGAAAGTTATTGCATGTTTTTTTTTGTTTTTGTTTTGCATGTTATCTTATCACGTTGTAGTCTTTTCTTATGTATTCGATTATATTATATTTGGAACGACTTCCGAAAGCCCTGTGGCTAATGTATTTGTCTCGAAACAAATAGTCTCCTTCACGATTACCTGCGCCATCTTGAAAGGTAGCCGTGCCTTTAAATCGAAGCGAGACCTTCACACCTACAGACAATTATTCACAGGTATCTATCATTGCAGACTCGGCGGTTATCTCGCTTCGATATTAAGGCACGGCTTCCTTTCAAGAGAACCAGAGAACCGTGTAGAAAACTATTGGCGCAACGACAACACCATGTCTGAACACCACACTCGTGATTATTAAGGTCTTCGGGTTTTCAACGTCCCTTCGTAATTTCCTCCACGGTTAAGCAAACAACGATCTTTCCTTTGTTGGTTTTTAGTAATTCTGATAGCAATATATTATACATTATCATTTTTCAGAGCATATCGTATTGGRCAAAGACGAGATGTCCAAGTGTTTCGTTTGATATCGTCTGGCACAATAGAAGAAATGATGTATTTACGGCAGATATATAAGCAGGTATGGTAGCTGATATAGYGATTTGCGGAATAAGCGAAACAACAAAACGAAATTACAAAAATATCAACGAATTARCGAAATAACGAAACGAAACTACGAAATAAAAGTGAAAATAAAGTGAAGCTATAATAAGGTCCCCACAACCTACTCGAAAAAAGAAGCTTAATAAATAAATAAAGCGATTAACAAACATAATGAAAGCGAAAAAATGAGACCAACCAAAAAAACCCAAAAAACAAACAAACAAATGAGAATGCACGCGAAATTAGACTAAGATAGACGGGATTACTAAAACCATAACAAAAACAAGCAAACAAACGATAATTAAACGGTAATAAAACACACTGGTGATGGAACAACAACGACTATCGAAGGTCAGGGGCTCCACAGTATCTTCTTATATTATGTTTTTATTTATTCCGAACAGCAAATGGCCAATATAGCTGTCAAAGGAACAAGCGAGCGTCGATATTTCACCGGTGTCGAGGGTGAGAAGGACCTCAAAGGAGAATTGTTTGGTGTCGAGAACCTCTTCTCCTATCGAGCTGAAGGTGTTTGCCTCGCGCAAGACATCATCACAAGAACTGATAAACTAGAAGCTGGTTTGAGAGTAGAGAAGTATCGTATCGTAGAAAAGACCAAACAAGACGAAGAGGTAGACCAGGAGAAGGTAAGTGTGATGGCACGAGTACAGAGGACGCATTTCTTTCCAAAACTCCAGATGTACATGTAAGTATAGAGGTCAAAATATTTCGCGTAATACAAAATTATGACGAGGCAAAGCGTTCTGGGTAGTACTGCATGGGTCTTTAATTTGACTTCTTTAGTATTGTTGTACAATTCGAAAAGTCAAGAGTATCGATATTGTGTATTTGGAAGTTTTTTCGATGTTTTTCATTGTGACGTGCTTCCAGCATAACCAGTATCACAAAAACCATTTGATCTTCCAATCATAAATTATCATCCCAAATAAGAATTTATCCTAATTACCCTTCCAAACTGGATCGTGACATTGATATTTTTTCATCAACTTTCCCGAGAACTTCCCCTTATACTATTAGTCTTGTTTTTGTTATCTTAGCTCACATCTTCAGCCACAAATAGCGAGACAGATGACTACGATCTTGAAGAAATGGCCTCTCAATTCTTCGAGGACCAGGTCGGCGCTGCATATGATAGGCCATCAACTAGTGGAATTATCACCGGTAGCCAGGAAGAGGAGGAAGGAACGTCGAAACTGGACGGTGATGATGATGATTGTGATGATGATAAAACTAGTCATCTCAAAGAACAATCCAATACAAAATCATCATTGGCAACARGAAAGACTTCAAAAAGAAGTAAAAAGAACAAACCTACCATTAAAAACAAGACACCAAAAAACACTCGCTTTCCAACAATATCCAGGAAAAAGCGCCTAAGAAAGTACTTGGCCGAGTTCTTTTCCAGTGGAGACAGTAGTTCATCGAACCAGGAAAGCCAGTCCACACGTGCAAAGACCAATTCAACGCAGAGAATGTCTGGAAAAGGTTACAAAGACACAGATGGTGATATTTCTTATGTGATTGACAGCGATGATAGTGACACACTCGCTGATCTGTCAATCAATCGAAGATTCACCAAAGTAAAACCCCACAAAAATCRTCGTCAAAAACTGGATACATTGACGTCAGTCGGCGCTGGGCATAAGTGCGATGGGACTAAAAGTTCTGTTGTAAATGAAGGAAGCGTTGTTCGTGGTKCTGAGAGTACGTGTAGTAAGGACGGTGCGAGTTGTAACGTAGTTGAGGAAGTTGGAGGATATTTTAGCATGTCTGAAGGCGATGAACGTAAAGAACTCACGCCAAAAACCCAGAAGAAAGGAAAGCACAAGCTGAAAAGGAAAGGACGAGTTGAAATAACAACAAGCGAAAAGTAAGTCTTTCATTGTGTAACCTTTTCAAATCTGAGGAATCAATTCACTAGAGATTTGTCAAGCCCTCACATTTACTCTTATCTTAACTCTTAGTATACCCCTGCGTTAACTATTATACAAACCCTCACGTTAACTCTTTATGTTAACTCTTACGTGAACTTTTACGTTAACTCTTACCTGAAAATTAACGTTAACTCTTACGTTAACATTTACGTTAACTCTTACGTGAAAATTAACGTTAACTCTTACGTTAACATTTACGTTAACTCTTACGTAAACCCTTACGCTAACGCTTTCCGAAACCCTTATGTAAATCCTTAAGTTGATGTAAATCCTTAAGTTGTTCCTTCGACGTTTTCGCGTTGAAAGTAACAAATCATGACTCCATTAATTAATGCCGTAATATTTTTGGAAAATTTTTTAAAATATTACGCGTAAACGTAACTGTGTAATAAGAGCGCAGTCCTTTACGCACCGATACGATGACTTATGCGTAATAAATGAATGTCTTCGTTGCAGAAAACCAAAGGTGGTTATTCAACRCGTAAAAGAAAACGTAAACAACGAGGTCGAGAATCTACTGAGTAAGTCAATAATTATTCACAATTGATAAGCAATGGTCCTTATGACGTAACTTTGATTCAGCGAAATGCATTATGGTATTGATAGTAGAATCAAGATGGCCGACGCTTGTTAGAAGTACGGCCGACGAAGTTTCTGTGCGATATCAACCATACTACCACTTCTGTCGTTAGCGCAAGCTAGCTAAAGAGTACTAGTTCTAAGTTCTAAGCTTCTCTCGTGATAATTATTGCCTCTAAAGTCTTGGGAACTTGACTGGTGGATTCGTTAACTCAGTTATTTGTTTGTTTCTTAAATGACTACTGTTTGGTCTTTTTATAATAATGTTTCGCTGTTTTAGGMAAATGTGGTGTCAGCTATACGCATGCTAATCGCACTGTTGTGTGCACAAGTAAAGCAGAGTCCCACATGTCTAAGCGAGCGATACAAGATGTCTTTGAACTGCGACAGTTTTCTCAACAGCCCGCCAACTGTTTTGCAGCTTTTGAGGTAAAGTTGATGTTTTCCTCGCGTATCTATGCACAGGTAGCCCAAGCTCAGTTTTAAAGTTTTTTTTGTTTGAACTTTGATTGGTGAATTTTTTCTTCGTTCATTCGCAAGTGGAAATAGACTGGGACTAGAACTCACAAAAACAGAAGTTTATTTTCTTTTTTCTTTTCTTTTCTGTTATTTTTATTCCCCGTCTTTCGTTTTTGTAAGTATTTTCTTCTTTACATACATACAATTATTTGTAAATATCTTTTTTAACATTTCGAATTTACATTGAGCCTGCGATGTCCAATTCTTTTTAGGTCAGCGACGAGAGTGATGATGTCGCAGAGAAATCCACAAAAGGCARAGATACTACGCCAGGATGTAAAACTAGTTGTGCGTCGTCGTCAAGGTAACCAGTTAGGCCTCCATTATGTTCATTCTGCTGCAACAATTGATCGGTAACTTTTTCAAAATCCTTCGTTTTGTCTRCGCATTTCATAATAAATTGAGCTTGTAAATCTGCAAWTTTTTCTACCTATTCCGCTCACTTCATTCTCGCGTATCTCAAATAAATGATGGMCAAMGATCCACCATTTTTTCCTACTTCCCAATCCGCCCGTCTAGTTYCTTAAACCTTTCTTGTTCCTTTAAATCGTTTTAAGTGTTTGYGCCGTTCTCGTTCCGAATCCGCACGTATATGTTATTCGCATTTGTTTTTAATATAAGCGTTTCGAGAATTACGTGGATAAAATGAAAAAAAAGGAAAAAAACTCACTTTAAAATCTGAAATTTAATTTAAGATAGCTAAATAGATTTAATCTTGCTTCAAATGAGTAATTTGGTACTGAAACCATGCTCTACTCTAGATCAACTAAAACGCTAATCAATAAACCCTCGGAAGTCTTCGATAAGTCATCGGCTGTTAAACAAGACCGTTCGGAATCCAGGACAAAGAAAACTAC